GCTCAAGTCATCATCTCATGGTTTGTGAGTTCGAGCCCAGCACTGGGTTCTGTGCTGACAGTGCAGAACCTGTTTGGGATTCTTTCTCTCTCTCCCTCTCTTTCCCTCTTTCTCTTCTCCTTCTGTGTGTTCACCCTCTCTCTGTCTCTCTCTCTCAAAAATAAATAAATAAACTTAAAAGAAAAACAGATAACAGAGATAAAAAAAAATAAGTTGTTTTAATGTTTTGAGAGTTCTCGGGGCTCCTGAGTGGTTCAGTAAGTTAAGCGTCCGACTTTGGCTCAAGTCATGATCTCACTGCTCATGGGTTCAAGCTCGGCATCTAGTGCTAAGAGCTCGCAGGTCAGAGCCTGGAGCATGCTTCAGATTCTGTCTCTCTCTCGGTCCCTCCCCTGCTCAAGCTCTATCTCGCTCTCTCTCGCTCTCTCTCTCTCTCTCTCAAAAATAAATAAAAACATTTTAAAAAATTTTTAAAAATAAGGTTTTGGGAGTTTTCAATATCAATGGTCTTCATATAATTGTGAGGTCATTGTGAAGCTCAAAGGAGTTAATATATGCAAAGCACACATAACAGTATAAGACATACAATAAATGCTTAAGAAATATTGGTCATTACCAATTAGTTCCATGTAGAAGCAATATTTACTGCAGGGAAAAGAGGCAGGAAGAAATGCACTGAGATATGAAACTAAATACTCTTTTTTCTTTCATTTTTCCATCTTCTCTACATTTATACACTCTGGACATCACTTAAGTACTATGGTTAAACCATTAATAAACATGTACCTTATCCTTAATTATACTATAAGACACTTGGGGGAAGAAAGAATCTCTCCTATTTCCTCTAAACATTCCTTACATGTCAGAGTACAGTAATATGCACAAGGAGGATTCAATAAATATTAGTGTCACAAATCCTTAGAAAAAAGCGAGAGTAATAAAAACAACAAAGCAATAAATAAAAATTAGTATGACAGTAAAACCAAGAGATCTGAAAGCCAATATTAATACAATTCAAAGACATAGAATAGAATGAGAAAGTGAGGTGAGAAGCTTTATTGTTAACCACAAAGAAGAGACCACACTCTCTTTCTCTTCTCTAGGTACAACAATTTAGGAGGAATACTAAAACACTGGACTGTGTCTAAAAGAGCAACTGAGAAACAGTTAAAGAACTGAGGACACTCACTGCAGAACAGAGAGGAATAGCCTTCCTACTCCCCTCTCACATCTTCAACAATGAGAAAAAGCTATCCTATGGGAAATGATTTAGGATTTCTCTGTTATCCAAAGGCAATTATCAAAAAATGGCAGGTATGGAAGTCTAGATTTCTCTCAACTCAAAAACCTGAAGTAACAGATCTTTTCTAAGGCAAAGATGTTATCGGAGATTAGTCATTGAAAGCGTTCAAGCAAAGGTTAGAAAACAGCTTGCCAACAGCTCTGCAGAAAACATCCAAGTAGGAGATAATTGGTTAGAATTCTAGGTTTCTTTACAACACTGTCACTATGTCAATGAGTATTACTGCATATACGCTCCAGAAACATTACTGACCTAAACCTATAACGCATACAAAAACAAAAAACTGAGAAACACACACAAAGTTCTCTGTTGCCAATACATTCATAACAAGTAATATATAAAATGTATATTACAGTTTGAGACCATAATAGATGTCACCAAGCCCTATTTATTAGTTGCCAAATGAATTCTAAGTCATATGTAAAGGTCTTCTAAGGAGGAGAAATCACTAAGGTTAAAATGGTCATAAAAAGATTTTTAGAGTAAATGAGCTATGGGTAATTAAGGTAAAATGTATATGAAAATTCTGAACAAAGAACTAGCAAAGAGGGGATAGTACAGATAGAAGTAAAAAGCAAGTTACAGAGAAACCCATTTGGCTGCATTAAAAACTTGTTTCATGGGAGAAGAGATAAGCTGAAAAGGAAGATTGTGGCCAGAATCAACTGTACTGGGCCTTGAATACCAAGCTAAGTAATTTCAAATTTATCCTGTAGACAGCAACTACAGCAACTACTCAACTTTGCTCTAGCCACAGACAACAGTAAATAAACGGCATGGCTGTCTTCCAATAAAATTTTATTTATAAATACTAAATTTGAATTTCATATATTTGCATGTGTCACAAATTATTCTATTTATATTATACAGTAACAGTCATACAAAAACAGGCTACGGGCTGGATTTGGCCCATGGGGTTTACCAATACCTGTACTACAAGCTGCCTTCTTTGGAGTTTTCTAAGATACATTTGTCCTTGAGCTTCAGGGATGAGAATAATAAATTATTCATTCAACAACTACACACATGCATGAATGCACACACCCAATGAAGATCTAAATCTAGTAGAGGTAAAAGGTTCCACCTACAAAGGTCCAAAAACAAAGCAAAACAAACAAAAAACAACAAAACCCTCTAGATTGTTGATAATAAGCCATTAGAACTAAAGCAATTTTTAATTTTGCAATTTATTTTCACACAGTAAATGTACTTAGTTACACACTACTCTTCCAGACCCTCCAGGTTACATGGGGGGATCTATAAACTAGAATATAATCAAAGAATAGTAAAGGGATGTGAGTTCTAGTCCCTACCCTATCATTTACTCATGAGATCCTGAACAAGTCACTTTCAATCCTCTGGCCCTAATCTCCTCATCTCTAAAGTGAAGGGATGCAAGTTACTAGATGATCACTATACTCTCCCTCAGCTTTAGCACTGTATAATTCTAGTCCTACTACAAACACCAGACGGGAGATGACAAAGACAGAAGTGATCATTAAGGACACAGAAAAGGCAGTGACTAAATGAGCAGGCAGATAAGACAAACAAGGTAGGAAAAAAGACCAAAAAAGTACAATATCACCAAAAGCAAAGGCAACAGAAAACCTAAGGAAGAGAAGTAAGTAAGAAGAATTCAGGAAGAGTATGGCCAACAAAAAAGAACTAGGTAGCTAGCTCAAAAAGGCAAGAACTTCAAGCGACAGTTTTAAGACTTCAGACTACTGTGCAAGCTTCCAGGAATCATGAGAAGAGCCATGGAAAAAGAACAGCCTGAAGATGAATCTAGAGGATGGGGGTTGGGGGAAAGGCATATGTTCCAAAAAATAGAGGAGAAGAAGAAAAAAGTTGGCAATGTGCTTGAAGCTTCAGGTGAGCGAGTCAGTCTTAAAGGAGAGGGAATTAAAATCCAAACTCTGGTGAAAGCAGCATTACAGTATCAGTTTTTACACAACTGATATTTTCCTGAGAAGCTATATATCCATATCATGGTTTTTTTTATATAGCAATTAGCGAAATAAATATGATGTTGCATTTTCTTAAGGATTCACCTATATTGTATTTCTCTAATGGTCAAAAAAATTAAGGGGCGCCTGGGTGTTCAGTCGGTTAAGCATCCGACTTTGGCTCAAGTCATGATCTCACGGTTCATGGGTTCGAGCCCCGCGTCGGGCTCTGTGCTGACAGCTAGCTCAGAGCCTGGAGCCTGCTTCAGATTCTGTGTCTCCCTCTCTCTCTGACCCTCCCCCGCTCACGAAGTCTCTCTCTCAGAAATAAATAAAAAACATTTAAAAAAATTTTTTTAATTAAGAACTTTGGTTTTTGTAAGAATGAAAACCAGCAGTATGCAGCTCTAAAAAAAATGCATGTTGTATCTTTCTTATAGCAACTATCACTTCCATCTTCACATATGAGTTACTTAGGTAATAAAGTACCTCTGCCCTAAATGAAGCTCAAGGAACATTACCAGTGTTCTCCTCTTAGTAGCTTTGAAAGCTCCCATGGCAAGAATTCTGATTAATTTATCTGCTTATCCACTTTGCACAGAGTTGGTGACGGTCGGATGAAAAATACTGACACATGATAACTGAGTTTTTAAAAAACTGTCCTTGCAAAACAATATCATCTGATAAAGTTAGAAAAATATTTTATCATAGATAAATAACTCTAATACCACTTTTGCAGTGTCAGAGCTTGCTTAAGTAGCAACAGATCGCTACAAAACAACTAAAAAAGCAAAACTAATTAAGAATTTTTAATGAACATCATTTATCAAAATTCTACACAGCTCATTTCAACGGGACACTGCCTCTCTATTTAAGGTATATGAGAAATAAAAATCCAAAGCATTAGCCCGATGATCAACCAGTTAAAAATACACATTTGGATACGCTGAAGATATTTATAAAGCCAACAGAGATACTATTAATATGTTGAAATTCACTGGCCAGTGCTGGATTCTACCATTAATCTTCTACTACTATTCAAGAGAAGCCAAGGAGTCAAGGCTTCTCATATCACTTGCTTTTAAGAATTCAAGAAGTCACCCAAACCAGCATACACAACCCAACTACAAAAAGTAGTTCAGCTCTCCATATGGTAATGTTTAGCTATCTCTTACCTTTATGTGAAAGTCACGTTAACTTTTTTCAACGATCTTCAATAGGCCCTCATTTAGGCAGGCCACAACCGTATTTACCGAGTAACAGGAGTTCAAAAAAGTCCTAACAGTTAACTCTGCCCTCCCACAGATCTCAAGTTGGGTGTAGATTTCACAAGCCCTGAAAGCTACACACTGCCACTGTCAAAACCAGAAGAAGCACCGTCACCCTGTCGTGCCCATTAGCAACTGTTACAGAATTTTTTCTTTGAAATTATCCTGGCTCAACATGTTAAATAAGAACCTAAAAGGCCACTTTCTCCCCTAAAGCTGGACCAGATTCCTTCCAGTCCGCTCCTTTATTCGTCCAGCCCGACAAACGCGAGACAGGAGGTCTCGACTCCCCCGACCCCCTAGATCCAGTCAGGGCTCCCAACTGCTCGCCGCACCCACCGTACGGCCCCCACCGCACAACTCCTCCTCCCCTCACCGCCAGGCCCGCACAGGAGCTGGGCCCGCAGCCGACCCCTCGCCCGGGCCTGCGCTGCGTCGAGCGGACGCAGGCCTCGGGCCTAGCCTCCTCCGCTGGCCCCTCACCTCTTTCGGGACCAGTTGGTTCTCCTCGCCGGGCACCATGGCTCAGACTCCGGCCGCTCCTCTCTGCCCTGCCGGGGGAGGGGGCAGGGTGGTGGCGGCTCTCTTAACTCAGGAGAGGATGGCAGCGCCAGTCATGCTCGCCACCGTCTGCGTTCCGGCAACCGCGGAGGCCTCCGCCTGGGCCTCAGACACCAGCGCGCAGACACCGACCCACGGCTGCTCCGCCGCTGCCGCTGCCGCCGCCGCCGCCGCCGTCGCCGCCTTCGTCGTCGGCCCCTCCCCCAGCCCGCTGCAATCAATGGAAAAATGGCGGCGGCCGCTCTCGCGAGAATTCAGACCGTCGGGCTCCCAGCCCGGCGCCAAGCGTCCAAGGTGCCGAGGCAGCTGTCGCTCGCGTTTAATTACCTCAGCTCTTACTCAGCCCCGGGATGTACAAAATTGATTCAGCGGCCCCGCAAACGTCTTTCGTGGGAGGGATTCTGGACCGTCCATCTCGGGACTCCCTCTGCCGGCAGGGAAAGGGCCAGGCCTCAGAATCCTCCATGCCTTTTTGGGCTCTTCGGACCCGCTGCCCACCAGGGAGAGTCGTGCTGAAAGCTCCTTCCCTGACCCTACCGCCACCCAATACTGCTCTCCCTTCCCGTTAGAAAAGCGCCTGAACTCCAGCCCCTCTTCACATAGCCCTGGCCTCTCTCTGGAAGAGAAGGCGTCACTGGCGGGCTCTCGGCCTCCGCCCTCAGGCACGGCCCCAGCCTGAAGGAACTGCGTTTTCTTTTTCGCTTCTCCCTACCCTCCTGATGGCCCCGGCTCGAGGGACCTCAAGGCCATCTCCTGCGAGGGGAGGGGAGGCGGCACCCCTCGTCTCAGAGAAACGGTGTCACTCTCCACGCACCTCCCCCACCCCCTCTCCGACACACACCCTCCATTAGAGCGACACTCTCCTGCCCTCTTTGTAGGAACTTCCTTCTCCCAACAGGTTCAAGTCTGGGACTGAGATCGCTTCTGAGTAGGGCTGCAGTTTGAACATACCATCTCCTTTAAGAATGTTTCCAAAGTACTTAAATCTCTGTCAGCACTGTGCTCTGTTTTATACTAAACAACTTGTACAACAGTTATTTTTCCAAGTTATCACTCATTAAACCTTACTTTAGGAAGACTTCTGTGGGTTCAGAGATTGTACACCATGCTGAGATAATATAATTCTGCCATATTTCTAACACCCACAGTATTAACTATCTGTACTTGTGTTCTCCAAACTTTTAAAAAAAATTTTTTTTTAACTTTACTTATTTTTGAGAAAGAGACAGAGTGTGAGCGGGGGAGGGGCAGAGAGAGGAGACAGAATCCAGAACAGGCTCCAGGCTCTGAGCTGTCAGCACAGGGCCAGATGTGGGGCTTGAACCCACCAACTTTGTGAGACCATGACCTGAGATGAAATCAAAGGCATAAGAGATTGAGCCACCCAGGCGCTCCTCTCTAAACTTTTTTTGATTGCACTCCCCGTTAGAGAAAAAAAAAAGTGTGTAAGCCTGTATACTTAAATAAGTTATATATACGTCCTGCTATATGTGACATAAAACATTTTTAAAACGTAAAAAAGATAAGATAAAAATAAACGTGTGAAGGTAACTGTAAGAGTTATTTTTTATATTAATGGTATAACGAATTCTTGTTACTTTCACCAAAAATATTTAGTGAAAGCAATATGATTGACTAGGTTTCAGTGGTTTTTAAAATCTTTAATACCTTCTGAAACAGTTATTAAATTGTCTGATTCAACGTTCAGGCTATTTCTGTACCTCATTTTAATGGCTGTCATAAGCTGGGAAAGATAACTCACAAAGATATGTAAATCCTAATGGAAGAAGTACATCTTTGGCTGTTCTTACTAATGCAAGTATCCATTTTTATCACTTCCATCCACCAATCATGAAAAGTTTTTATTGAAATTCAACTACTAACTTTCTATCTTTCCTGATGACAGCCAGAAAATGTTGCATTTCAAATTGTTAACAAATGGGTTCAGAACTCTTTGGAATTCATTGCTTGGAAGAGTTTTCAATACCTTGGAAAATTCTGCCTTCAAGTTTTAATGTACATGTGCAACTTTTTTTAGGGTACTGATCTTGTCTTTGAAATTTTGATATTTTGTTCATTATAGATGTTTGCATTAATTTTGAATTTTTAGGGGGCACCTGGGTGGCTCAGTCAGTTAAACGTTCAACTATTGGTTTTGGCTCAGGTAGTAATCACGTGATTCACGTATCTGTGCTGTTAGCACAGAGCCTGTTTGGGATTCTCTCTCTCTCCCTCTCTCTGCCCCTCCCAAAACAAGTAAATAAACTTTTTAAAAATTTTTGTAGCAAAATACTATTTATCTTGATTACTGAAGTTGTGGCTGTCTTAAGTTTTGCACCGGAGGTGAATGCCTCACTTAACTTACCATTGTCTCAGCCTTAGGTAGCACACAAACCATTTGTACACCAAAATCCCATAAAAGAAATATTTCCAAATCACTGATATCAAAATGTTCTTCCTGCTACTTAATAAGATAGATTCTGTACAGCTCATGCTAGAAGTAGACATGTCGTCTCTCCTATCATCTTTTTTGCTTATGTTTGCATTTTTGTCTTCAACTCACGTTTTCTTTTTTTTTCTTTTTTTTAAAATGTTTTATTTATTTCTGAGAGAGAGAGACAGTGTGAGCAGGGGAAAGTCAGAGAGAGATACAGAATCCGAAACAGGCTCCAGGCTCTGAGCTGGCCATCAGCAAAGAGCCTGACGTGGGGCTCGAACCCACGAACCGTGAGATCATGACCTGAGCCGAAGTTGTACACTCAACCGACTGAGCCACCCAGGTGCCCCTCAACTCATGTTTTCTTTCCAGAAATCTTTTTTAGCTTTCATTTTATTTGTTTGTTTGTTTGTTTTTAAGTAGTCTTCACGCCAAGCATGGAGCCCAACATGGGACTTGACCTGAGATCAAGACTTGAACTGAGATCAAGAGTCACTTAACTGACTGAGCCACCCAGGCACCCCTAGCCTTTTTCATTTTAGTGAAGGGCTAGTTTAATGAAATAATAATGTCAGTGGTAAATTTTCTTAACCCAGCACACATAAACTGGAATAAATCACAATATATTAAGGGGCACCTGGATGGCTCAGTAGATTGAGTGTCCAACTATTGATTTAGGCTCAGGTCATGATCTCAGGATTATGGGATTGAGCCCTGCATTAGGCTCTGCTCTAAACATGGGGCCTGCTTCAGATTTTCTCTCTCAAAAAAAAAAAAAAAATCACAATATATTAAAATGAAAGACAATGAAAAAGAATCCCTGAATTATTCCCCACAATGCATAACTCATGATTTGTACTCATTAATAGTAAGATGCCAGTGTCAATCTGCATATTGAATATTTATGAGACTTTGAGTTTTTTTGTTTTTCGATAAAAATATATATTTTTTAATTCTAATGTTTTCTTCCCACGATCCACCTTCTCTGGAATATTCTTCTCTTTGGAGGCCATTGGCATGGCTGTACTAAAACCTGATAGGTAGGCTGTTATGCAGTAAGTATTTGCGGAGTAACTATATGAATGCATGAATTGATTAATAAATAAGCAAATATTGATATATGGCTACTCTTCCTAGTAAATTAAGAAAACTAATATTACATGCCTATGTTTTTGTTTATTTTTCTATATGTATTTTCTGTCTTCAGTCTTTACCACTCTCACAGACACCAACCTTATACATACGTCTACCTTTCTGATGACTTGAAACATCTCAAATTTAACTTGACCTGAACAGATCATGTTTGATTTCTGAGCCTCCTGCACCTTCTTCCTGCAACATATGCTCTGTTGGCTCTCTCTACCTCAGTAAAGTGCACCATCATGAATTTGGTTTATCAAGCCCAAAATGTAAAAATCTTTATTTCGCTTTCAATTCATTACTAAATACTGCTGCTTCATCCTACCCCAATCCAACCAGTTCTCTTTATATCCACCACTCCCCATCCTACTCCAATCATCGTCTTCTCTTGCCTGGACTACCTACTTGTCAGGATCCTAACTTCTAGAACTCAAACTAGAAGCTCCTAGCTTCTATTCTTATCTCCCCCAAATTCATACTCCACGAAACATCTAGAGTAATCCTCTTAAAATATATCAGATTATATATAATTCTTAGTTAAAACCTCCTCTTAGCTAAAACCTTTCAAAGACCTCCTGTCCCACTCAGCACAAAATTCATATCCCTTGCCATGGCCTCCAAAGCCCAATGCAAGCTAGCCCCTGGCCACTTTGTTCATCTCATCTACCACTCTTCCTCTTATAACAATGACCCACCCACTCTGCCCTTATTGAAGCTTTTTAAATACATTAAATTTACCTCTGCTACAAAGCCTTTCACTAGCTGTCCCTTATCCTAAATGGTCTCCCAAATCTTTGTCTTATGTAGTTCCATCTTGTCATTTGGGCATCTCAAACGTTACCTCCTCAAAGAGGCTTTGCATGACCATTCAATCTAGGCTGGTTGTCTTTAATGTATCTTCTGTGCCTATAATAGTGTCTGGCACATAGTAAGTGCTTAATAAATTTTTATTGAATTAATGACTTTTTTAAGGCAAGATTCAAATTTTTAAAAATTCCCAGGACTGGTGTAGGTCAGAAGCTTACAAATTATTTTGGATTATTTAAAAAGTTCATAATATAACCCCCATCAAAACATGAAAAAAAGCATCAGGCACATCTGGACTGGGGGACATTCTACAGGATATCTGGCTAGTATTCTTGAACATGGTTAAGCTCAGGAAAAACAAGACTAAGAAACTGTCACAGACCAGAGGAGACTGGGGAAACATGACAACTAAATGCAGTGTGGTACCCTGGATTATTTCCTGGAACAGAAAGAGAACATTAATGAAAACCCTGGCGAAATTCAAATAAAATAGAAAGTTTGGTTACTAATAATGGTCCAATGTCAGTTTCTCAGCTTTGACAAATGTATGACGGTAATGTACAATGGGAATAATGTAAAGGGGAAAGTGGGAGGGCTACATATAGACTCTCTGTTTTTTCTTAGCAACTTTTCTGCAGATCTAAAACTTCTCCAAAATGAAAAGTGTATTAGAAATGTCCATCGTAATATGTGTGACATTTCTTTCCTTTCTTTCATATTTCAAGACCCTTTATGAAACATTTTAAACCATTTTTAAAGCCATATAGTCAAAGTCATATTGTATAATTTAAGAGCTAGTAATGATGTTTACCACTCGAACTGTAACTACCAGTAATACTGTTAAATGTATTCCATAAATGTGAATGGAAATTTTTGCCATAACTATGTTTTAATGAAGTTAAAAAGATCTTTTAGTCAGTGTGATATGGCTTTGGACCCCTGTTTTGATATCTAAGCTCAGACAATTTTTCCATATAAGACCTCTCTGAATCTCATTTTTCTAAACTAGAAAGTGGACCGTTGGCATTTACCTATTTAACATTTGCAGTTTTGACCAAAAAAGTCCATGACATATAACCCTCCAGAACTGTGCCTGAAAGGAAATCTAAATTTCACACATTGGTCAGAGCATAGGAGACTAGATAGCTGAGTGGTTGAAGTAATAAAATGAGAATAGGCTACCTGAATTTGAAACCTACCTCTGTTATTATTAACTGTGTGGTCTTCCTTGAATAGGTTTCTTAAACTCACTAAGCACCAGTTTTCTTATCTGTAAAATGAGAATAATAATAGCACCACTTTATAAGGTATATTAAATAGCAAAAAAAAAATCATAAAACTATGACAAGATATAGATAGACAGACAGACATAGATATAGATATCCAGTCCTGTTCTAAATGCTTTACACATATCATTTCATTTAATTATTTCAAGAGCTTTATGCAAAACTACTACTATCATCCTCTTTTTGCAAGTGAGGAACTTGATATATAGAAACTTTGAAACATGCACCACACTGCCCCACAAATATGAAACAATCAATATGTACTGGCTAGAATTATCCCAGCACTTGACTGAGCTCCATGAGGAATTATGCAGCCCTAATTATGCCTGGCATATAGTA